CTGCAAGGGTTCGTGCGCTCTCCAGGGCAGAGAAGAGGCAGGGGTGAGGGGCGCCTGGGGTGACTTTGCAAGACTTTGCCCAGGGGAAAGGGTGGATAGGGAACCCCTCCAGCCGACTCTTGTGCCCCAGTACCAGGGTGTAGGTGCTACCAGCAGAGGTAGGCAGTGTTCACTTAGGCGCAGAGTGCCAAGGGGTGCCTCCGGGTGGGAAGACGAAGGCAAGAGGCTGCTTCGATTGGGGGGGAACGGCGTCCCCTTTTTCATTTGTGCCTGGGAAGTTTGTCTCAAGTGCGCTGCTCCGGGCGCGGCAAGTGGCTCTCCTCACTCCCCCTAGCCCCCACCCCCCACCCCAGCCTTCCCGGGCGCAGGGCTGGCAGTGCTGGGCGCAGGGAGCCGGGGCACCGGCTCAGTGCCGTTCGGCTGTCGGCCGGAGCCCGCCTGGGTCCAGGGAAAAGTTCGGGGGAGTTGCCGCGGTGGTTGTGTGCGCTGGGAGAGAAGTTGCGCCCGGGGACGTGGGACGCCTGGCCGGCGGCCCCGCGGGCGGGTGGAGCGGTGCGTTCCCAGGGAGCTCAGCCGCGGTGGGAGAGGGTCTGGCGGGGTCTATGTCCCGAGGTTGGGCTGACGGTGACCTCGGGGCTTAGTATTTGGGGGAAAGAGCCCCGAATCCAGGGGCGCGTTGCCGAAATAGGCACCAGGCGGAGGACAGAGAGAAGAGTGGCTCGTGGAGCTCAGGGGGGCACCAAACGGGAGACGGCCGGTCCACCCGGACACTTGGGGGTCGAGCTTCAGGGCAAAGGAGCGCGTGGTGGCTGGCAGAGGAGTGCAGGGGAGCGGGGCTGCAGGGGGCGCGCGGGAAGGGGGGATCGGGCCCGACAGACAGTCAGGGAGCTCCCGAGGCTGGGGGCCGAGTCGCGCGTCCGGGGTGAGCCGGCCGGGCGGAGCGGCGGCCGGTTTATTTTTACTCGGTGGCATTTGCAGAATGTGCAGCTGATGGCCGTCGGCCGCCAGGAAGTTTTGCTTTCTGTTCTTTCTCTCTTTCTGAAGCCAGCGCGGCCGGGAGCGGGCGGGCTGGGGAATAGGGCCTGGGAGGGGAGGGGGCAGCCGCTGGGGTGGCAAGGTGTGGGCAAGGGGTGCTCTGGGGAGGTGGGCAGGGGCTACGGGCGAGGGCGGCGGGCTGGCGCTGGGCCGCTGAGGAGCATTTGGGCGAAGGTCCGTCCCCGGGGTTGGAAGCTCTTCGGCGAGGGGAACAGGTGTATGCGCCGTCAATCACGGCGGGAGGGACACTTTGGGGGCGTAGATTAAAATAATAATAATAGATTTTTCTCTAGGGGGTGGGTGCAGATTCTTCTTCCAAGTCATCCCCGACCCGGGTCCGGAGTTGGGGGAGGAAAGGGGTGCCGAGGGAAGCAGGGGGCCGCTTCCCCCTACACACAAGTTTCTCCTGACCCAGCCTCAGCTTGGGAAGCCGGCCCAGGGTGCGGCGAGGACCTCCTTCCAGTCACTCTGGGGAGGGTGCGAGTGCGTGTGCGGGTGTGTATGACTTGTCCACCGAGGAAGCAGCGAAAACATTCCTCCAGCGAGCCTGGAGATCCCCCAAACCTGGCCGGCTCAAGGGGCGACTGGGGCGTTATGCGTCGCTGCTTCAGCGGAGTCTGGGGGCGCGACCCTCAGAGTGTGTGGTTGTTCCGCCAACACCCGGTACACTCAAAGAGATGGGGGCGGCGAGGGGGAAAGGCCTGGGAAGTCCAAGGGCAAAGTTGGTAAATTTAGGAGGTCTCTAAGCTGGTTTGGGCGCACGGTGAGAGCGTTCGAAGGGACTGGAAAACAGATCGCCTGGTAAATTGGTGCGCCCCCCACCCCCCGCCCACCCATCGGCGCGCGCGCGCGCGCACACACACACACACATACACACACACACGCGCGCGCGCGCACACAAACACACACACACACGACGCACGTCGCAGTCCTAAAGGGAGCTGTCCGGGCTGAGCTGGAGCAGCTGCGCCGGGCGTGGTGAGGGGGGTAGTTGGTCCCCCGGGGCTGCGTCGGGGCTGCGCTCCACGTGCCCAGAGGGGGCGCTGGGCCGATCCGCGCCCGAGCGCAAAGCTCAGGGTTTGCGCCCTGGTGGCAGCGAGGTGGTGCGTCCCGGGCGGGCGGCGCGTTCCGCGCCATCTCCGGCTACTCGCGCTATCTTCCCCGACGCCCTGCAGCTTTCCTACTTCCCAAACTTAGCTTTATGGTCTGCCCTTCCTCGGGCTCTCAGACCCTCTGCAGGGCACCGCGGGGAACTTCTCCCCTCCGGGCAGCGGCCACCATCTCCCCAGAACCCCGCGAGTTGGAGAGATAGGCCCCCCCACCCCCATCTCGTTAGCCACCTCAGAGGCGGTTAACGAGAGTTTATGGGGAATATTGTTGAACTTCAGTAATCAGGTTTCCAGCGATCTTATGCCTTCTGTTTAATTTATTAGACTAGTTATTTATTCTGTTGATGATAATCTGTTGCTGGTTTCTATGGAGATGTTAAACTGATCTCTTTCAGAAATCAAACTCCATATGCACTAAAACGTTTAAAGGGGCAGTGCCTCCCTCCTTTTTTTGTGGGGGGGGGTCTCGTTTTGTTTTTTAGACTTTGCACCTTGCGGAGACTTCGCGTCTTCCTCTGAGTCTCGGTGCGTTTTATTTCCTTCTTACGAAGGAGAGGAGTCCGGATACTCACGCTTTGTGGCAAGTACAGCTTATTATGGCTAGAAGAAAGCGAAGGCTTTGATCCCTAGGTTGCATCATCATTTAAAACAGATCATTTCATCACCACCCCTTTCTCCCCCATCATATAAGAGCAAAATTCTTTCAAGATCAAAGAGTCCAATCTAAAAAAAAAAAACCAACTATTGTTAAAAAAATAGGAACTCAGTCAAATATGAACCTCTCCTATATATCTGCTCCCCTTGTGTTTAAAGAATTTTTTGAATAAGAAAAATAAAACTTGTAGCTCAGCTAATTTTTCATACTTATTAATAGTTTATCTTGCCCCCCCTTTTTTAATTTAAAAAGAAGTTCAAAGTTAGATTTCTCTGCCTGTGGGGGTTGAGGTATATTTGCTTCTCTTTTAGATCCTGACCATCTGTTTTTGGAAAATTGGCCTCTGGGAAGAGGGGAAGAGTTTTTACTCAAACGTAATGGAGTGCTTTAATTTTTACAAAATACTCAACCAAATATTTTAAAGTCCCAATTTCCCTACTTTTTAGGAGATTATCAATACCCTCTGTCTGGTGTGTGAGAACATATCAACTTTTTCTTCTTTTTCTCCCCTTCTCAGGCAGTCTTCTGTGGACTTGTGACTTTGGGGGGTGCGGTGCAGTGAATTAAGAAAGTCAGGCAGAAAAAAATTATCTTGGTTTGTGACACTCTGAAAAATTGCAAACCTACTCTGAATGCCGATGTTTATCACCCTGACAGATATGATACAAAGCGATTGCATTTCCTAATGATCCTTTGGGACTAAGTTGTAGGTAAAACCATTTAATGCATTTTTAATATTAAAGTAAGGCATGGGTTCCATTTTCTCGGCGGTGAGGGGAGTGGGTGTCCCACCCTGGAGCTGATGCTTTCTGAGTATACTGGTTTTCTTTTCCAACTCAAGCCCCCCACCTCCACCCCTGCCCATTTTCATTCACTTTGGAGAGGGGTGAGCCACACACAGGGCATTTGGCTTTCATAAATAAATTTATATCTGGCCAGAAGGTCCAATGCTAAATAAGAGTACACTTAAAAAAAAAAAAAAGCAAGGAAGAAAGAAAGAAAAGAAATGAGAGAAAGAAAAAACAAACCTCAGACTCCACCCCTGCTATAGGAAACAAAACAGAGGCAATTGTTGACTTTTTTTTTCCTTCTGCCATCCTGGTTCTCTTTTATATTATTTTATTTTGGAAGGGGGTGGAATGGGTGTTGCTTCTCAGCCCAGAGGAGAGAGGAGCCATTTCTGTTATTTCCCCCTTTGCTGTATTTTAAAAATTTGTTTGATTTGGATTGCAAACAGAACAGAGGCTTAAGGGTAGAAAAGAGCACTGTAGCTTTAAACTCAGGAGTTTGCATATTCTCCTTGTATCTTTCCCCTTTGCTAATTATTGTGTTGTTTTCAGAGCAAATATGTCATATCCATGGCGACCGGGCAGGTTTATTGTCTTTCTGAAGCAATAGCTCACATAAGTAATTAATGACTTTCTTTTTTTCCCCTGGCTTAGGTTAAACAGATCATTCAAGGAAAGTCATCTCTCTCTCTCTCCTCTCTTCTCTTCTCTCTTCTCTCTCTCTCTTTCTCTCTCTCTCTCTTTTTTAGCTCAGTGACATAAGAACATGAGTTAGAACAAGAAAATACTTTAACCAAGAAGTCAACAGCTTATTTTCCCCTATTTCTTTTAAAAGCTGAAGTGTCAGCTTTCAGACATATGAGGCTGTCATTCTTACAGCCGTGAGCTGTGCAGTCCATGCCTGGGTTGGAATCCATTTGAAGGTTG